GGGAGAAGAAGGTATAGAAATAAGAGGGCAGGTGCTAGGAGAACAAGACGAAAAACGGAGAAATAGAGCTTTAATCATGTAAGAGTAGGATACTGGAACTGTCGGAGTTCTAGGCAGAGAGGTCCTGTACTGGAGAGGTTGATTTTTGATGTCATCATGCTTCAGGAGCTAAATACAGACATATAGCATTGCCCTGGATACGTCAGTTATATAAACCCTGTTGGACAGGAGAGACATGGACAAGGTCTGGTGATGAAGAAGGGAGTGAAGCATGTGGTGCTTGACTTGAGCCAGTGGAACCACAGTGGAAGAGAGGTTCAAGGGATACAGGTGGAGATTATAGGCTTAAGTTAGAACCTCATAAATATTTATGCCACAGTAGACTGTTTTGTCAGAAGTGAACAATGGGGCTGGCTCAAGGAATTGGAGGAGTTACCAGGTGACAGGTTACTCATATGTGGGGATTTCAACGCGAGGAACAGAGAATGGGATAGCAGTGGAGAAAACCGACAGGAAATTGCTCTTGCAGAAGCCATGGTTGACTCCGATATGGTCTGCATCAATGATGGGAGGCCGACTAGAAAGGCAATGAGGTCTGAAGATGCAGACACACCTATTGACCTGACATTTGTCTCTCAGTCGTCGGTTTTAGATGTTAAATGGACTGTCCTGAATGACTATAGGAGTGATCACCTACCATGTTCAGTCTTGATTTCTAAACTCAGTAAGGTTAAGGTTGGGAGAGAACGCAAGACCTTCCGGTATGAGTGGACCAACAACCTACTTGGACGTCTCAGACAGGGAGCTTGCAACAAAACTGTCAGAACTAATTTTCTACAGCCCACATGGTGGACTCCAGAAGTTGAACAGGCGTGGAAGGCAAAGAGAGCCACAGTGAAGCAGCTAAAGAAAGTACGACAGACACCCTCAAGCTCACGAGGGAGATGGCGGAGAATGTGAAAAAAAGATAAGGTGGAGGTTTTCAAGCGCTGTGCTACAGAGGCTAAAAGAGCAAAGTGGGAAACTTTTGTGAATGATATGGAAGGCGATAAACATTGGGGAAATTCTAGAAACTGCAAAGGCATATGCAAAGAAAAGATCAGCCTATGACAGTCGGAACAATTTGTAGAGACGATGGTGTGCGTGTGACAACAGATAAGGAGAAAAGGGGAGGCTTTTCTTAATAGGTTTCTAGCTCATACAGTTTATAATGATGTAGAAATCAGGGATGCAGTTTGAAAGGAGTTAGCTGGCACCTTTAAGAATATGCATTACGAAGACATGATACAATGGAAGATATCAAAAAAATTTTGAAATGAAAAAAGGAAAAGACACTGCACCAGGACCTGATGGAGTCAGGTATGGTCACGTGAAGGCTTTGAGCGATGTAGACCTGGCAGAGATGGCCGACTGTTTTAACCAGAGTATTAAGACATCATCAGTACCGCAGGACTGGGCGCACAGCTATCTAATCCCACTACAGTAACCTTTTGAAGATCATTCTAAGCTCAGTGGCTTTAGAATCATCACCTTACAAAACACATTTGGGAAGGGTTTGGAGAAGATAGTTTCTGTAAAAATGCAGGAATTATTTGAAAGGGGGAAGCTTACCCCAAGATATCTGGGAAGTTACAGGCCAGGAAAGGACACTTGGACAAATGCGGCCACTTTTGCTTTTGACGTCTATGAGGGGTTCCAGAACAGACAGGAAACTATGACTGGATCTCGAGGATGCTTATAACAGAGTGAGATACGACATTTTAATGACTGCACTGAGGGAGAAGAAGGTCAGTCCATGGCGGATAAATTGGATGGCAGCTGTTCTGTATTCACGTCGGGTTGCTCTCCGACTGAGCTCATGGACCTCAGAACCATGCACTTTGGCACCAGGACTGCCCCAGGGATCCACCATCTCGCTTGTGCTCTTTAACGTGTATACGAGCAAGATTGCAAGCCTGGAGGCACCAGGAGTTGGAAGGATACCGACTTTTGCGGATGATATTCTTGCATGTAGGCAGGGGGAAGAGAGGGAACAAACAGCCCGGGAGCTTCAAGCGACAGTAGACAACGTGACTGAGTGGTGTACAAAAATGAGGGCTGTTGTCCACCCGGAAAAGGCGTCTGTTTTGTGGTGTTCTCTGGACAACAGAATCGTTAACGCTAATGTCCTAAGTCTCACGATAGATGGTTGGAACGTCAACAGAGAGAGCAAACTGAGGTATCTGGGAATTACATTTGACAGGAGCCTATCATTTAAGGACCACGTGGAGAGTGTTGTGACAAGATGCCAAAAAGGACTTAGTGCACTTAAGACTATGGCTGCAATTGACATAGAGCAGAGAATGCTTTTCACACTATATCAGCACCTGATCCTGTCAGTTGTTGATTATGGTCTGGGACTGCTTATCGTCTCAAAGAGTCAAATGGACAAACTAGAGCGGATTCAGAACGCGGCTATGCTGGTCAGTCTGGGTTGCACCAGACACCCCAGTGGTGTGTATGCGATACATTCCTGGTTTGCCGACGGCTGCAGGTAGGCACAAGTGCTGCAGGCGAAGTCATATCTCAGGGTAACTGCAGACACAGACCACCCTCTGCATGAAGCTCTGGGTGCAGTTAAGGGTCAGCGGCTGATAAGAGAGAGGTCAAGGATGGATCAGGCAGAAAACACAATCAGACAGGTTTGCTTCTTTGAGAACACTAGGCGAGGAGAAGAGTGGGTCAAAGTGCCACCTAAACAGTCAGACTTGTGCAGAGTCATAATCACGCTGAGCCGGGAATGCAGAGGTATGCTTCGTGCAGAGTGGCATGCTTCGCTGCGGTAGACACGGGTGAGGAGTATTGTCTGGATTTTTTCACCGGGGCACGCCGGTGTGTGGGAAATGAACACACGGACAGATTGGCTGGCTCTGCACAACTTGGTGGAATATTGATACACAATAAGGCAGAGGTAGTTAGTGCCTTGTGGGAGAGCGTGTACAGTTCAAAGGAGCAGATGGATCACCACAGTCTGGTGAGATTGATGCAGCGTGGAGTGACGAGAGGTTCTGGCAGATGCTTGAGGCTCAGGGGAAATGCAAGACGGACGTTTAATCAGAATGCTACTGGCGCCATTAGTATCGGAACTCTTCGCTGGCTGCTGAAGATGGGAATGGAGCGCTTATGGGAATACCCCGAGTGCTGTGATGTCGGTTCTTGAATCAAATCAAATCAAATCTTTGACACCCTGTTAAATCCGCTGTAGTGTGTTTATTAACATTACTTCTTGTAACTAGTAAAAGTAAACCTTCCAAAAGATACGAAAATAGTTTCATGATTAAAACACATCATAAAAAAAAAAAAAAAAAAAAAACTACATTTGAAATTCTTGATTAGTGAAAATAAGTCCTTTCTTAACGTCGTGGATGTCGGGAGTGAGCTTCATTACAATCGCTTCCTTAGTTTTCAAAATATTAAGATCTTTTCATGTTCATGAATTTTGAACGGACTCAGTTTTATAGACCAAGTGGCAATGGGTGGGTCACCGGGTCGACATCAAACTGCCGGCATTACTTTTCAGTTCCTCTCTTTTTACCCTTTTAAGATGGGTCACCATGGGAACGAATTTCAAGGATACTGAAAACTCGTCCTTTGAAGGATAATTGAAATAGACATTGCTAAATATTTTCAGTTAAGTGTCTCATTACGAGTAGCGATGTATTTTATAGTATAGTTGAGCCTGTCTTCTTCCTCTTCCCTCATCTTTTTCTTCTCCTTCTTATTCGTCTTTATCTTCTGCATTCCACATTTAATGGACGGTTGAAAATGTTGTTTTGTGGTATACGCTAGGCTGCGATATCTACGCCTATTGGCCTAATACATAAGATTGCAGCAAATCCTTAATAGCCCATTATGACAAGCTTGTTAATAAGGGGCAGTAATTCCCATTTGGAGAACTTTTAACCAAGCACACTTGTTCCTTCAGTGTTAAATGTGAAACAGCAATTTGATAGTCAGTCTGGTGAGAGTGATGCGGCGAGGAGTGACGAGGGGATCTGGCCGATACTTGACGCTCAGAGGAAAGTAAAGACTTCTACTAGTACCACAGGTATTTGAACTCTGCGCTGGCTGCTGAAGATGGGGATAGAGCGCTAACCTTTGAGCAGAAGTCCCATAAAGTGTGCCACCCCCTCCCCCACAAAAAATGTTTAAGGGGACTGTCACCCCTCCCATGTAGTAAAAGAAGGGAGTTGAACTACCCAAGCCTCCCCTCTCCCACTGTCTTCTTTATGTGCTCTTATTTCAGGAAGATGTTTTTTTCATCCGAAGGCAGTGCATTGAAATCCAATTCATTGGTTTCTCAACTGGTCTCTGTGGTTAATCGTTTGCCACATACTCTCAATGTTGTATGTTTCATTTCCAACCCAGCTCTTCAGGTTAGGATTGTGGCTGGTTAGGAGATTCCCGGGTGTCCCTGGAGCTAAGGAGGTCATGCTTCATGCGGTCATGCTGCATGGGAAGACGAGCTATGTGGGATAAAAATCCATCCCAAAAAAAAAGAAAAAAAAAAAAAAAAAAAAAAGCCGAGATGTTGCTATTAAATACGCTACAACTTGACGCATTTTGGAAATGATGCAAGAGTGATTTGTTTTATAGTCCAAACGATACTTGTAGGGACTTACAGATGTGAATAACTTTACGTCAACAGCCTTTACTTACTAAAATATTGTCTGGTACACAATTTAGGCTAGTTCGACCTGGGAGAGGTCGTTTAGAAAATATCCAACTCGATGAGGATTCGAACGCAAGACCTTCGGACTGGTAGGCGAGCGGCTAACCTCTATACCGCAGCGGTTTCCTCAGTTTTGATAATGTCCAGTTTATCATCTAATCCCTAATTCTCTCCTCCACCTCTATACCGCAGCGGTTTCCTCAGTTTTGACAATGTCCAGTTTATCATCTAATCCCTAATTCTCTCCTCCACTTCCATATGCTATAATAATTACCTGTTAATTTAGTTCTCATGTTGCGAGATAGTTCGTTATTTTCCGTCGAATTTTGTAAACATTCGCCTGTAAAGCGCTGCGGATTTGAGGATTTAGTAGTCCGTACAGGATAGGATCGATTGCTGCAGTGCTAGCAGCCAATGAGGAGAAAACCGCTAGCATGTCGATCTTCATTGAATCCGTCCAACAGGAAGTCCCTCTTAAAATACACACGGAAAGCGGAAGTGGCATCCACAGACACGCGAAACAACAGACGATAAGTCCAACTTTCAACGCTGCCTTTAATTCTACTCTCCTTTTTCCTTGTTCTCTGTTCCGTGGGTTCATGAGACAAACAGCACCTTCTATTGGCGATGCGTTTTGTGAGTTCACTATTTGTAAATGAACTGTACCGTCCATCTCTACCACTTCTATATGTTTGGTGTTATCTATGGCGGGAAAACTAGTGCTTTTGTCTTGTTCTCTGTCGTTACTTGTATAATGTAAGACAGTCTTTTGATCCTCTGGATTTGTTTTGGGATTGCTTTTAAGGGAGTTTGGAATATTTTGTGATGTTGAATCCAGCATGGAGTTTTCCGGCATTGATATATGACCTTTTGTTTCAATGTCCTCTGTGTGTTGTTGTTGAGAAAGTAGACTGGGGCATTTCGTTGTTAACTGTGGTGTCTTTTGCTGACTATCAGCAACTTGGATCTCTGATATGGACAGGCTGTTATTATATGTGGACATGTCATCCGAACAACGATATTCAGAAGTAGGTTCACATGACAGTGCTAAGGAACTAGAGTCTTTGTAAGAGATTTGTAAAAGATGCTCATGTGCATTGTCCAGATCACTCTCCATTGAAGTTTGGAGAGTAGTATTTCTAGAAGAAGTTTCCTGTGTACAATCAGACAAGGAGCTTTGTGAGTGAGAGTTGAATACTTTAACTGATGGCGCTGTGGGGTTGTTATCACTGGTTAAATGTGTATTCTGATCGATCTGAGGATTTTTTGGTTTGTTAAAACTAGACACCTGACTTAAATTAGTATTACTGTTCTCTGAACCAGGGATCACATTGGAATCTGTAGCTGTATCATAGCTGCTGGACAACATACTATTGGTAGACAACATACTATTGGTGGACATTTTGTTCTTATGTCTACCGTCGCTTGTATGTAAGAATGCAATCACCGACTGTAGTCTTGGGTATTTACGATTTTGCAACCTAGGTGATGCCTTAAAAATATTAGATGCTGCTCTACTTTGTGCAGCTTGCGCTTGTGTCCCTCTTCTAACAAAGATTTGAATGTCTTGATGTTTATGAGATGGGTGTATAGAATGAGATGGCTGAATGCGACTAGTATCTCCACTATTACTAGTTAAATGCAAATGCACGACGTCCAATCCCTGGGTGTAAGTATGATCAGGCTCATCGTTATTATGCGTCTCGACTATAGTAGACTCTGTTACCACAGCGCCTGGTAGCGTATATGCTTCACCACTTACTGACTGCTGGGTACTTCGAAGGGACCGACGTCCTTGGCTGTTCCCAGCAGTAGCCGTGCTTTGAGATGTGGTGTGTGCTGTAGAAGTATTGATAACTTTAACCAACTGATTCTCTAGATTTGCTTCAGAATCTTCACACAGACAGTTATTATGCTCCGTTACAATCTCCCTGGAGGGGATTATCAGCGGTGATCTCGATGAAGTCAACATTTTTCTGTCCTCTTCACCTGTGCTATGATGTGAACAATTGCTAATCTTATCTGCACTCTTATGGCACGCCTTTGAATCACAATTGTTACTTTTAATCTCTCTGCTTAATTGTTTTTCAGAAATGTCAATATTGTCAGTTTTGATAACACCTGGTTTTAACTTGTCTGAACTTTTAATACTGCTTGATAATTTAAAATCATGGATACCCTTTTCAGCTATATTATCAGTTTTGATAGTATCCGGACAGCTATCATTGTTAATCATGTTATCATTAACGTTACATTCACCATAGCTATCTGGCTTCACATCGTCTTGGTGTACCTCTTGAGAGCTGCTGAGTTGAATCTTGGCTGTTTTCTCCTCGATTTCCAGTATTTCAGCTTTGCTTCCATTTTGTGTCTGAAGCTGTGACATCTTGCCGCTGTCTACGGGCACAACTTGATTCATCTTCGGCTTCAAGTGGCCTGCCATTTTCCGCCGTTGCTGCCTCAGAATCACGACGATGAGGCTATAGCAGACGGCGATGACTAGAATGGACAGTATGGTCAGAGGCATCTCTACGAACACCTCCAGGTCACCCCAATTTGTCGTTGTGACATCTGTATTTTCCAGACATGGTTGGTGCAAAACCGTATCACAGAAGTACCTGAGGAAGAAAGTAATCTATTGTTATTGCCCTACAGAAGCAAGTCAATATGGTCAAATATAGTAATAGCCGGTTAGTTCCACGAAAGTCTCCCCATTTACTCACTCTAACACACTAGCTTACTTCTGATTAATCGACCTTCTGCCTAGCTCATTCTGATTGGTCGACCTTCAGCTTAGCTCACTTCTGATTGGTCGACCTTGAGCCACCCGACTTTGGCACAAGGTGGCGGGGGTATTCCCGAAAGCTGTTGATATCGCGTGTTGTTTTTTTTCAGTAAGCCAGCGCTTTTAATACTCTAAAAACATGGACAAACTGGGTCTAACACACAATTCCCCCCCCCCCCCTCCCAAAGGAAGCTGCAACCTATGTCACAAGCCTTCTCTTTTTCGGAAGAAAAACGTAAATGCAAGACATCCCAGAAAGCAAACAACAGAGTGGCACACCCGTAACTCTCACGAAAGTAGACTAGTCCAAAAAAACTTATCAGTGGAACGTGACCTACTTTCTCTGGGGACTGACGTCGAACTAAATGGGATAGTCATCCAAGTCATCGCCCACTTCCACTTGCCCCAGCTGGATCCCCTAGTCCAGTGGTCTGCAAATCGTGGCTCGCGAGCCACATGCGGCTCCTTAGCCACCTGAGTGATGCTCCGTCAGTCGACCACAAATCGGATTTGACTCCGAAAAAACATGGTTCTTGATAGGTTCTTGAAAAGAAATTTAGCTCTCAAAAAAAATTTTATCGCCCTGATTTGTGTCTCTTTTGACTAATGAGTTTGCCGACCTAGTCTCACTCAACGACACTGAGTTGTAATCATTTCTAATGGCGGAGGACAGCCTGCTCAATACTCCGCATTCTTCAGATATCAGATTGTGATGACATAAATCAATCATTCATTCAATCAATCAATCCATCATTCATCCATCCACCCATCCATCCATCCATCCATCCATCCATCCATCCATCCATCCATCCATCCATCCACCCATCCATCCATCCATCCACCCATCAATCCACCCATCGATCCATCTATCCATCCATCCACCCAACCATTAGTTATTCAGTCAGCCATTTATTCAATCAATCAATAAATCAACCAAACGATCAATCCTCCATCCACCTATCTATTAGTTATTCAGTAAGCCAGCTAATCAATGAATGAATCAATGAATCAATCAATCAATCTTCCATTCACTCATCCATCCCTTTATCCATTAGTTATTCAGTCAGTCAGCCAATCTATCAAACAATCAGACAATCAATCACTCACCGTCACTACAACAAAGGTTGACTGTACTGCCTCTTCACATGCTTTATTATTCCCCCTGTTTACATTTTCTGAGAATGTTTATCCAGATCCTGATATTACTCTCTATTTAACCGTTTACCGCTTCGACCCCTCTACCTCACCCCATGATTTTATTTTACGAATTTTATTTCTATAGAACCCGCTGTATTTGCTTGTTTTTGTGTCTGTGCAATAAACCCAAACTTCCATATATCCAAAACACAACCCTTTAGATCCATTTCAACTATACAATTACTTATTAATTGTCCATGTTTCCAAACCATACAATAGGCTTGAGCATACACAATTGATGCAAATCCTCTCTTACTCTGCCATCATTGGCTAACTCTTGTTCTTTTGATTTTAATGTTTTATTGTTGTTTTACATTACACACGCCCGGTTATTTAGTTTCCATTCCAACTACATAATCTTTGTTCCATGTTTCGTTAATTGGCAGTTCCGTTTGTTGAAGACTTCGATGGAATACATGATTACATTCATTATTTCTGTTACCTGAACTATTCAGTTACACTGAAAACATGTTTTATTTTACAGATCATTATTCGATTGTCGACGTTTTTATATTCTAATGAAAGAAAACAATTATATCGTTGACCCATTATTTAATTTCAAGAGTTATTCAAAGAAAACGATGGCTCAAATGTTATAATTGCCTGAATACAGTACAGTAATCAACTGTGCATCAAGTTTCCCATTGTATTTTTGGATATTTTTCTCTCTAATGGAAACATGCATAGCCTGGTTCATGTAAAAAGTCCCGGTCAAGCAAATTATCCCCACTCAACCTTTACAAAGTGGTCACGTCCCCTTTTCTGCTGCTCACGGTCAGGCTTTTTTTGTAGACATTTTGGAAGTACCTGAGGATAATTGCTAGATTTAGGGACGCTCGTTCTTTTGCCATACACTCCGCACGTGACTCGGCAAAAAGAGACCGAGCCTTATTGCATGAAATCGAACTGCAGTAAGTATTTCTTCCCTTAGTTAACCCCCCACCCCCCGCCCCCATTAAAAAAAAAACACTGGATAAATCACAAATATTCCCGTGTAAGATACGACATCACTTAATATGAACAATTATTTCTATAGAACAGTGTTTCTTGTCTGATGGTTAGGGGACAGTGACATATTTAACAACACCCTACGCTCCCCCACACCAAAATTCCTCCCACATCGACTTTACAATGCAATAAGTTTGGCGACTCTACGAGGGGAAGTTAATAAGTAAGTCACAAATGGTTGTTTAAAAAAAAAAAAAAAAAAGACACACACACTTGAAGACCGTACATTTTACACACATACTGTCCTGTTATTTTTCAACATAATTTTAACCAACACTTCAGATTGTTCACGTAAAATTGCCTAGCTAGGCTTTACTCCTAGGTCAGTTAGTATTTTGTATTAGAACCTCACACGCCAGCCGGTCCGCTGGTTCATTACCTTAAACACCTGAAATATTATATGGCAGTGGTTCTTAATTCACAAAGACACGGACCCTTTTTATTATCTAAGGTTTTCCAAAGAGCCATACTTTTTAATGGTCATGCCAAAGAATTTATTATAATTGACAGATATTACGAGGGAAGTCAATACGTAAATCACAAATGGTTAGGAGATGGCAGGAACGTAGTTGGTGGTTTCTAAAGGTGTCATTAGTTGACAGCAACATCCAACTTTATGGCCTTGTTCATTAGGTGGCGCTAGGTGTTACATGCACATTCACAACTCAGGAACATAATGGCGTCTGTACTTACGGAGTGTATCCTCAAAAAACAACGATCTGTTGTGCATTGTTTTTTTTTTTTTTTGGTTTTGCCGGGGGCAGGGGTGGGGGACAAAGGGCTGCATGCAAAGGACATTCATAATGTACTAGAAAGGAGAAGCCCTTAGTACCAAGAAAAAAAAAAAATAAAGAAAAAGAGAGTTCGTTTTGGTGGGGGAGAGATTAGAATATCTCACCCAGGCAAGAAATCTTCTGTGTAAAGTCTAATATAGCCCAGCGCGCTAATAACGAATAAAATAAACTAGGCACACTAACTACAAGTCCTAAGCTGAAGGAAACAACTGTAACTATGATTACAACGTTGAAAACAATTTTATTTAACATCATATCAGCGTGATCAACAAATAACGACATTAACGACAACAACGTCCTCGGCCAAAATCTCAAATATATAGCGATCTACCATCCAACTATCTCTTAGCAAGAATACAACTAAAAATCTTTTTTAAAACCATCTAACCAACTGAACGTACCATCGCCTGAAATCAGTCAGATCACCGGCTTTCCACACGATCTCCATACCTGTTGACTAGCCAGCCCATTGTGCAAAGCACAGTCGCTAGGTAGGTTACGCGGGTTCGTCCGGAAGTCAAATAGATCGCTGCAAGACTAAATAAAATCTTTTATACCGAGCGAGCCAGATTTTTCCTCAATTGGATGTCTGCTACATCGCAAGATTGACCTTGCATGTGTGCAGTGACATCGATCATAACCAGGGGTACCGACAAAGAATTCATCTGGAATGCTCAGCTGGCTTAACCCCCTAACATTTTATAACGATGGCAAAAGGGAAAAATGGGAGGGGTGTTCGGACCCCAGACCCAAACAATAGATTGGACAATTTATTGCCTGGCATTTTTCGCTGAAAACCGCCAGATGCCTACCGCGCGAACAATAAAATAAAACAGATTAGTAAATCCTTTACTTTCTCAAGAAATCAACACCAGGATAGGTAAGGCAGCAACAACAATGAGCAGATTTAACAAGAAAGTTTGTGATAACAGGAAGCTCACAGTTAAAACAAAGACCCTTATCTTTCAAACATGTGTCTTGAATCGAGGACTGAAGAAACGAGTAACTGAGCACATTTCAGCATTCGTAATCTGGTAATCAGCATGGGTAGGGAAGGGAGCCACTACAAAGTTAGGTTAGTTGCGTATCCTTTACAGGACGTTGCAAATTTGATGAGCAACCAGAAGTTTCCGCAAGAGTTTACAGCCAGTGTTCGCGAAGCAAAGCAAAAGCCAGTTTACAAAAATTAACACAGGCCGTACAACTGCAAATATGCAAAAGAAGTCGATGAACTACCAGAAGTTTCCGCAAGAGTTTACAGCCAGTGTTCGCGAAGCATAAGTCAAATGGTTAAGGATTTATATTATTAGTGTACTGCTACAACATATAATTATACTGTTAGTCAACAATTAGTAAAGAGGCAAAGAGTGACTTGCTGTGAAAGGTTAGTTAGTAATTTAAATATTATTTTCACCCACTTACCTAGAGCTCCGAAATATCTTGACAAATTATCCACAGTGTGGTTGCACCATTTATGCACAGTCAATATGAAAGCAATAGTTTTCTTCAAACACAAGATAGTTTGCACCTGACAACTGTCGATATTTTCCAGATATGGCTTAAACATTACCTGTTTGTATTATCCCTAAAAGTAAGATTTCTACATTTAAAGTAGAAAAGTAATAAACATCCAGTTCCCAAAAATCCGAACCACTGACTAGAAACAGTGACACTGACACACACATCACAACACGACTGTCTTCCGTGAATTAAAATTAAAATTGCTGTATATCCACTTCACAATATCCATTTGTAGATTTGTAAAACGAATAGGTTTAGAACACAGGACTTTGTAAGCATATTAATATGTCACACAATGCAACATGGAAAGTCC